TTATTTTTTAACCATATTATATGGATTGTTTGTGGAATTTGTTTTACGTTATTATTTTATTTGGTATTTAGTGTAGCTATCATTAGTTAAGTTGATAGTTGTTATTGGTTATTGTTCCGTTTTTACGTTATGATTGWATTTGTTGTTTAACGCATCGACCAAAATGAAGATATTGTTGATTTGGGTTCACCGGTTGTAAGTTAAAATAAGCATAATTCATTTTAAATTTTGATTTTGATTCTATCTGCCAAAGCAAAGACATAATAWGTCAACTTTATGATTTTATTTTGTTTTTCAGCGCAATCGCAATTTCGACGAGGCCAAGAGTTCACCGGTTGTAAGTTAAAAGTGCATTTTATTTATCTTTGTATTTTATTGTTTTGATGTATTGTTTTTAATAGGTTTCTGATGATGAAGCCGAAGTACTTGAAGTGCAGGGGTGCAGTTTACCCAAACCATACGTGAGTACATTCGTCATGTATATGTTTATTGTTATTTTTTTCCACATTGCTCGTTAGGTTAGGTTGTGCACAGGGATGTATTGGTAAATAATGATTTGAGTATACGCCATATTTTCAAGGCCGGATTAAGAACCTATTGGGTCCCGAGGCTGAAATTGCATATGGGCGCTTTTGACAAAACATGCTTTACAAAAACGCTCGCTACGCTCACAGAAAGATACATCTTTCTAACTATTTCAAAAATTAACAATTGCATTATAAAATTACAAAATTAATAGGTATATGTAAATTATGTCYATAAAACTACTAATTGTAGTATAAGTAAATAAATTACATAAATAACATTTTATTGTTAAAATATTACATTAATACATTACAAAATATTCCAAATACTTCGGTTTTATATGTTTTTTTAAATATTTTTTGATCGTGTATCATCTGCTGATCTGTGACCCARTARCCATGACTTCACATACACTTCTGGTTTCCAAACATGCAAATGCAATGGAGGACCATTTATTTTAATAAACATCAATTCAGAAATATGTTCAACAGTTAATCTTGTTCGAAGATCATTGCAAATAATATTTAATAGGCTAAAGCCTCTTTCACACTCGGCTGTGGAACATGGAAATGTTTGAACACAATTATGCATTTCTAAGATCGATGTTCTGGAACTTTTATCTTCTTCTAAAAGTTCTCTAAAACCATGAACTGCATTATCTTTATTTTAAAAAAAATCGGTCACATATTCGTTTCACTTGGTCTTCCCCATACCTTACACCAACCGTTTGAGGCCAAGTAGTTTTATCTAGTATACAGATATCTYGAAGAATTGAATTATCAATATCATTTTTATCTAATAATCTTGAATTTAGATTAACACAGATACTTGTTATGAACTGATCACTATTAATGAAAACAATTCTTGAATAATTAGACAACTTTATATTTTYAAATAACATATTTGATAAATCTTTTTTAAATTCATCCATGTGATCACCATTTTTGTATTTAAATGACTCTATTATTCTTATTGTTCTTTTAATTTTTGAATCAGCATTTATCAATGTAATATCTTTACTTTGGAGAGCCAAAGATAAAGTTGAAAGTTCGTACAATACATCACACATTAAAGCTAAATCAGAAATGAGCACAGGCAAAATGGCGGTTTAGCATAACCATGTCCCATATATTTAGTAAGGGCCTTAATGCGTACGGACCGTACCGTATGTAGGCTTGTGTGTAGATTCGTAGGTACGTCGTAGATTCGTAGGTACGTCGTACACTCGTATGTACGTAAATATGGTTTATCGTTTATAAATTATGAAATTGAAATATAACACAGAATAACACAATTTTATAATAATAATATTATATTACTTAAATTCAACAGGCATAACAGCAATAGATAAACATTAAAAATGATAAGTAATTCATACAACAACAAATCTATTTTAAATATTTTATTAAATATTGWCATATTCTATGTATACATATTATAAAATATTCAACTCTATTATCTATTTATAGCTTGTTTATGATAACATTGTATGGTTCTCKAGCGTTCGTCGCTCGGCCGCGGGTGATATAACCTTACTGGTTGTAGATTGTAAATAATACTATCAATAACAATTTATTTACAATTATATTAGATATACTGGATTATACCAAGGTCTTAGACTATTGGCTATACAAGTATACCGTATAACAACCTAATAAATGATATATTTTAATCATAAAGACATAAAATATTATTTTATATGTTATACAGTAGAATTTAAAAAGCCAATTTTAAATCTTCAAAAACTATTAGCTTAGCACTAACCGTATACACGCCGTATATTCAACATTTACCCACCGTATACTTATAAAATGAATRTTTTTTTCACGTATACGCATTTCTTTGTAAATATTGTTATCAGTATACGCCGTATACTCCCGTATACGCTCCAATACACCCCTGCGACTTGTGCATGGTTTTCATTGGAGTTTTCATGATTTTTATTTTCATTGATTGTTTTCTCGTGTTTTTTGATATGTGTTCATTGTGTATTGTCATCAGTTTAATCCTTTGAACTTGAACCATATCYCCAAATTGAAGGAGCTTGCATCGGATGTAGACAGCGTGGTTGTGGCATTCTG